TGGAGTGCTGGGACCGATCCTGAAGGCGAGGAGGAGATAGCATATTGGTACTTCTGTTCAGTGCGCGGGCTCTAAAGAAAACGTCCCTTTCCCCGACGTAGCACCCCGGGCGGTCCAGCCAGGGCTCCAATCGCAGCGACGGGCCATCGGCCTTCGGTACGCGGAGGTGAGAGGGTCCACGCCCACCACGCGGGCAGCTCCCCGCCTCCCCGGGGCCCATTCCCAGAGGGGCGCACAGTGGGGTTGCCACCTGTTCCGAGCCTGGATGAGTCTCTGCCTCGCTCAGAGGCCCGCCGCCTCCTCCTACCGAGGGTCTGCGGTAGCCACCGACTCGGTCGGGGTTTCCCTGTCCACATTATAACGGCGTGGAGCGTACCCCGACCGGGGGCGGGGTGGCCTCGGCGGAATGGATGCCTCAGGACAGGGATGTTATAGGCTGGCTCAGAGCAACAGTGCGCACCTAGTGTCTCCTGGATAGAAAGGAGGGAGGGGGAGAAGAGCAGGAGGAAGCCGTTTAAGCCCTAAGGACTTAGGATCCCGTGGGCTGGAGACTGAACCCCGCCCCTTTGGTGACCTCCAATCTTTAGTATCTTCTTCTGTTAAATGGGAACAACGGCCTCGCTCTCAACCCCAAAGGAAAATAACAGTTTGTAAACTGAGCTCAATAAAAGTTTGTTCCCGTCCCTCTCAGTCCTATCCAAAGTGGTTCCACTGTGAACTTGTGGGGGAGGTCAACTTCAAGGCACTGATCATTATGGGGAGATGGCTGTCACACCTGCTTCACAGGAGGGGAGGGTGATCCCACGGATGGATTAGGGGGGTTGTTCTTAGTTTGAGTTTTGTTAGGTTACTTTTTTCTTTGTTGTTTTCCTTTAGCGTCTCTGGAGCGGCACCCTTCTCCCCAAGCTAGGGCATTCCTCCAGACTTCTCCCTGGGCCCAGCCTCTGCTGGTGCCTAAGCCTAAGCCAGACCAGAGCAGGGCGTCCTGGGTTCACAGCGCCTCACAGTCGCTCAAACAGTTTAACTATTAGCAGAATAGAGACATTGCAAGGTGAGGGTGTCATTGGGTCCTTCCCAGCCTTCCAAATCTCTGAGCAAACACACCCTTAGATACCACAGGTAGCTTCCAGAAACCCATTTTATGAATGAAAACCTAAGGCCAAGAGCAGACAACTCAAGTGTCTCTGATGCCCACACTCTTCCCTGCCTCCCAGCACCACAAGCCATTCCCCGGACCTGCCCCTCTGCTCATGGGACATTAGGCAAATGCCCACATCTCTCTGAGCCTCAGTTTTCTCATCTGTAAAACAGGAGTAACACCTCCCTCCTAGGGCCAGTGAGAGATTAAATAAAAGGAAGTCTGTCAAGACCCGCTAAGTGCTTGGCACAGCTTAGGTCGCCTTTAACTGGCCACAGTTGTCACATTATATGGAAGTCATCAGCTCTGTCATTCTAAAGGCTCCCATACACCCCACAATCCAGATTACAGACCTCACGAGTAATTGTGTACACCTAATAAATACATCATGCACCTCTGCCCACATTTACATGTATTTTACGTGTCATGTTTCACACCAGCCCACATGCACATTTGCACGTGTGTGCATCAGAAGTATTTATGAAGCATCTGCCACGTGCCAGGACCTGTACTCAGCGCTGGGGTTTGGGACACCGGCATGACCCTGGACATCTCCGGGAGCTGACTTTTCGAGGAAGACATGACATTTGTTTGAAGGGTCTTATCGAACACGTTTCGGTGCCAAATGCTGCCATTCCTCATTCTTCCTGGTTTCCGGACCAGGAGCAATGGCCGAAATGCTTTTTCTTTTACTTTCCCTTGCAGGAGTCTTGCCTCCCACCGCCACCCCTGGCTGGCTCTGCCCTAGGACGCCGCTTTCCTTGGCAGCCTGGCCGAGACGCCGCCTGAATGTGAGCAGAAACTCGGGGAAGGAAAGAGAGAACCAGAAAGAAAGGCCCGGGGAGGACCCGGGAAGCAGTGGGAGGTCTGCGCCCTGATGCCCCGAGCGAGCCCGCCCCGGCCCGTTTGGCACAGGCTCCTCCTGGGCCGCCAAGCGTTCGAGCAAAGGCCGGCCCCGACGCGCACCCGGCCTTTTGTGAGAGGGAAACACAAAGGAGAGGGAAAAACACGTCTTCCGTTCGGACGGAGGAGGCCAATAGCTCCAGGACGCCGGGGCCAGCCAGGGACTACCGGAACGGGGACGATTAGCCTGGGCAAGTGAGCTCTCAATTCCCTGGGAGGGCGTCGCGGCCCAGCTGCGCGCACTGGTGGGAACGGTGGCGCAGGGGGCCCTCCCGGGACTCGCAGGCCGGGCGCCGGGCGCAGGACCCGGACAGTGCCGAGGACGCTTTCCGGATGCACGACAGCAAGCGCGGACTGCCAGGCTCTAGTTTCCGATTATTCCTGGGGGGTGGGAGTGGGGTTGGGGGGGTTAGAAACAGCAAGATGTATCCAGTGTCCAATTTGCCCTTGGGCTAAAGGAGCCCAGGGGACACAGACCGCCCCCCACCTCCCGGGGGGGGGGGGGGGGGGGGGGGGGAGTCTGCGGGCAGGAGAAGGGGCTCAGCTGCCAGCCCGATCTCCGGACGTGGGGTTGTGAGGACCGCGAGGTAACGCCGCACAGCTTCAGAACCGCCTCCGCTGCCTCGACTCAGCTCGGTGGCCTGGGCCTGGGGCCTGGAGCGTCCACAAGGTAACCCGGCGAGCAAGCCAGCTCTCCTGCCTTCAGACTCTGCCTTCCAGGCTCTAGACTCGCGCCTTTCCAGGGCGGGCCTCCCAACTTTCACCCCTGTCTCCAACTCCAGCCACTGAACCAAGCGTGTAAGCTCAGACCGCGCACACCGCGGAGGGCCGGACCGTATGAGGCAACAAAAGAAGTAACCCGGGCTCCGGGACACGTGCCGGCGGCTGGACTAACCTCAGCGGTTGCAACCAAGGCGCGCGCACGTTGCGCCTGCTGGTGTTCACTAGATACACCGGCAGGCGCACAACTCCACGGCCAGGCTGGTGGCCCCACAGCGCACACCTCCACACACGTCGTCACTGCGGTTGGCTGCGGAGGCCCAAAGGAGTGACCGTCAAATGCCCTAGCTCTTCCTGATCCACCCCCCGCCCCCCCATGTGAGATTCTACTCATTGAATGGTTATGGGTCATCTTTGTAACCGTTGGACGACATGTCACCACGCTTCAGTTCTTCGTGTTTTAAATACATATTTAACGGATGGCTGCAGAGCCAGCTGGAAAACACGAGGGCTGAAAAATAATGATCCAGAAGGCACCAGACTGGGGAGGAAGCGAGAGCCGGCTGGGCTTTCTAGCATAGACCCCGGAGGGACACTTTTCCCGGAGCTAGGGGCAATGACGTGGCTTTCTTTTTGCATTTGTCTATTTTGTAATTTTGCTAGTTGAAGGCCAATTACTTACTATGCTTATTTGTTTCCTTGCTTGTTCTAAAATGAAAGCACATTAAAATTTCCCAAACAACCGAGGTAACCAGAGGATCGTTACACTCCCTAAGAGAGAGGACTGGGGCTGGAGGTGGGTGTGTGTGCGCGGTGTGAAAGGCTAGCATCCGAGATCTATAGAAACAAGCTTCTGGATGTGAAAAATATGGATGTGAGAAATTCAGCTCAGGGAAAAGGTTAGGGGTTGGGGAGAGGAGCAGCCACCTCTACTGTAAGGAACCGCCATGGTACGCAGGCAGGGTGCTCGGTTGGGTTTAGCAACTTTTTCTGTAGGCTTGCTGCAGACACGGTCTCTAAATTTTCTAATCTGTAAAATGGGTGAATGCGTAGGTACCTGTGAACTACCTCAGTTATGCCCTTCTCCAGATGTGGTTTAATTCCTCAGAGTCAAGGGTTTGCAGGTTAGAGAGCCAGGCTGTTATCAATAAAGTGCGTCCGAATGCGGCCGCCAGTGGTTCGATCTCGCTGTCCGGTCCTAGGCGTGAAGACTTTGCCCAGGCTTGAGACCTCTCTTTGCAAACAAACCAGCATTGCCCCCTGCCTTATGGCGTGCTGACAATCACAAAGATGATGCTGAAAATACTATCATCAGACTTCCCTCCTAAAAAATGTAAGGGAGTGTTTAACTCCGGTGAGACTCTGCCTTTGTGTTAGTGCGGTTACTGCGTGGAAATAACTCCTCCCTGCTTCTACGCTATCCTCAACTTTACGAAGAGCTGTGATTTCTTTCCAAACACCGTTCTGAAGTCCGCTCTCTGGCCCGCAAGGCCCTACCCCCAGCTGGGGGCGCTACCGGCCGCCCGCGGAGCTGAGGTATTGGCCATCTCCTAGACGCGCTAAGAGCGCGAAGAAAGTGAGGGCTTTGTGCCTGGTTATCCTTTATATTTGGGACCCCAAATGCCCACGTGTTGATGAAACCCATGAGATGGGGACAGGCGGCGGGAAACGAGAGAGGGGAAAAGCTAGGGAGGAGACTCCAGCCCCGGTTCTTGGGTCGCCAGGCTTATCCACGCGCATCCCAAAAGATCCGGCTGCGTTGGGCATCGGGTTAGTCTGTGTGCAGAGTCCCCAGCCCACCCATCCTCCAGCCTGATTCTGTGGTGGTCGCATTATTACAGAAATTTGACAACGTGCCGTCCCTCCCTCGGTCCCAAGCGCACTTGGTCCTCTCCCCCCGCGAGCCCGCCCTCCTCCTCCCCCTCGCCTCTCAATCTTCCTCCCGGGTCCTTCCTCCAGTCCCTCCCCAAGAATCTCCCGACCGCAGGCGCCTATTGGCTGTGCGAAGGGGGGAGGCGTGCGCCGGGCCGGCGGGTTTCATTGAGCGGAATTAGCCCGGATGACATCAGCTTCCCAGCCCCCCGGGCGGGCCCAGCTCATTGGCGCTGCTGCCCCTCCAGGACAAGCACATTGTTCCCCGCCCCCGCATCGGCCACCGCCGCTGCCGTCGCCGCTGCCACCCGGCTATAAAAACCGGCCGAACCCCGAAAGGTGCGGATGCTTATTATAGATCGACACGACACCAGCGCCCGGAGCCAGGTTCTCCGCTGCGGCTTTTCAGAGCAAGGTCCTGGAATCGCATCCACAGTAAGTGTCCCCGCCCCCCAGCCCAGATACCGGGGACAGGCGCGCCCCCAACTCGGCTCCGACCCAGGATGCTCTGGTAGAGGGGGCCCGGGTGCCGCTCCTGCTGGTCAGTTCTCCTGAGTGCCTTTGCTGCTCTGACCCTCCCCACTCTTCGCAGCATCCCCTTTGCCCAAAATAAGAGAAGTCAGGCGACAATAGGTCTCTCTGCCCACCTCCCGGTCAGCTGGCGAGCTCCCTGCGACCCCCGGGCGCAGCACATGGAATCTGGGTCCCGCGCGGGCGCTGGGTGCATGTGTGTGTGCGTGTGTTTGCTGCGTGGTGTCGATGGAGATAAGGTGGGTGCGTCTGAGGAACCAGATAAATAGTTCTCTAGATCTCCACCCTTCCCAGAGTCCTCACTTGCCAGTCGTTTATTCCAGCCCTGGAGACTCGGCTTTCCCATTCCTAACTGAAGGATCAAAACCTCTAGAACTTTACCGTTACTGAGGGTCACCAAATGCTCCCCGAAATAAAACACCTGTGGATGAGAGCGGAGGGGAGGAGGTAGGGAGGGAAAGTGAGAGATGAGTTATAGGTGCCTGCGTGACGCTAGAAGGAAGACCAGGGATAGCAGTGAGGTGGACACAGAGCCACCCGCCACCCACACGCCTGGACTCCACGCTGTGGTACAGGCGGAAGCGGCTCTTCTGCCTCACTTAGAGTCTCTGTCTCTGTATCTCTCTCTCTCTCTCTCCTGTTTCTCCCCCTGTCCTGGAAACTCTGAGGGTTTAGGGAGGGAGGACCCTGCGAAAGCTGCGACTATCCCCTGGGGCCATGGACTCGGACGCCAGCCTGGCGTCCAGCCGCCCGTCGTCGCCAGAGCCCGATGACCTTTTTCTGCCGGCCCGGAGCAAGGGCAGCAGCGGCAGCGGCTTCACTGGGGCCACCGTCTCCTCGTCCACGCCAAACGACTGCCCGCCGGAGCTGAGCGCGGAGCTGCGTGGCGCCATGGGAGCGGCGGGCACTCACGCCGGGGACAAGGTGGGCGGCAGTGGCTTCAAGTCATCCTCGTCCAGCACCTCATCGTCCACATCGTCGGCCGCGTCGTCCACCAAGAAGGACAAGAAGCAGATGACGGAGCCGGAGCTGCAGCAGCTGCGCCTCAAGATCAACAGCCGCGAGCGCAAGCGCATGCACGACCTCAACATCGCCATGGACGGCCTGCGAGAGGTCATGCCCTACGCGCACGGCCCGTCGGTGCGCAAGCTCTCCAAGATCGCCACGCTGCTGCTGGCGCGCAACTACATCCTCATGCTCACCAACTCGCTGGAGGAAATGTGGGGAGCGGGGGCGGCGGCAGCGGGGGCAGTGGTGGCTTCCAGCACTGGGGCGGCATGCCCTGCCCCTGCAGCATGTGCCAGGTGCCACCACCGCACCACCACGTGTCGGCCATGGGCGCGGGCAGCCTGCCGCGCCTCACCTCCGACGCCAAGTGAGCCGGCCGGCACCGACGCGTTCTGACGAGCGGGGGAAAGGGCGGGAGGGCCGGGCCGGGGGCCGCTGGGAGGAGAGGACTGGCCGGCGCTGGGGCTCGGGAACTCTGTATCGAGGAAGGACGCAGGACCATGGACTGGTCGGGGGGGACGGCGGGATTCCAGCACCCGGGAGCCGCAGCAGTGGGGGCGCGCACAGAGCAGTAGGGAGTGAGAGAGGACGTTACTCCAGGACTTGGTTGAGCTTTCTCTGGCTTTAAACCACATTGCTCCGGTAGACACTCTGTTATAAAAAGGCATCGCTGTGTGCATCCCTCACTCGAACTTACCCCACCTACCGGAAAAGATTCTAGAAACTGGTTTCCCCCAAAGCATGGCCTGACTCCCTGACTCGGCCAGGGCAGCTCTGCGCGGGGGGAGGGAGGTGACGTTGGAGACTTCCTCTCCTTCCTCCTTTCTTGGCCGGTAGGAGACTCGGGGAGCCGCACTGCAGAAGCGACCGCCCGTCCTCGCCCTCGAGGGTCGTCCCTGGCCCAGGGCCAGGGCGACGAGTTGGAAGCTGGCGTTCGGTACCAGAAGCACCTAAGGTCGTGTCCAATCTCTTTGTGGGTAAACTCACAGCATCTAAGAACTGTGGCCGTTCCTCCCTGTCTCTCCTGTTGGTATGGGGGGTTGTGGTTTTCTAATAAATCTGTGGATGTTCCTTTTTCAACGGTATGAACAAGCTTTATAGACGCTCAGAATAGAGCCACTTGTGGATTGGAAAAAGCCCAAACTGCCGATTTGGGGGGGGGACGGTGGGTGTTTTCCAGTTATTATTTCAAAATAGAAACTTCCCCCCACTCCATTCTTCCTGTCCCTGAGCGCAAGGTGATTTGGTTTCTTAGGGTTGGGGGCAGTCATTTTGGTACCTGGGGGCTTGACAACTAAAAGGCGGTTGCTGTGAATATAGCCTGGGTGATTTGGGAGTTCTGTTGACTTTTTGAAATTTTCTTTCTTGGATGTGTAAGTACAGTATCGATGGTGAGGTAAGTGCGCGATGCTAAGCTGTTTGCTCACGGGACAGCCAGCCCCGCCGGAGTGTAAGTGGGCTTTCCTCGCTCTATACTCGTTTCTTTTCGCCACGTTTAACATAAATGGCAAAGTCCTCCACGTACTTTTTGCGCCCGTGCAAAGCTCCTGGGCGTTGCCTGCGTTGCCTTATGGGCTTCGTAGCGTCTGCCACATAACGTCCCTCCTCTGATCGCCCTGCCCCTCGCAGAGAGTGTATCATCTGTTTTATTTTTGTAAAAAAAAAAAAAATGCTAAATAATATTTATTACTTGTTTGGTTGAAAAAATGAAATAAATGACCGAGTGTTGAGATTTTAAATAAAATTTTAAGTCGGCGTTTTCCATCCATGTGGGTGGGCGGAGGCACAGGGAGCAACCCCAATAGGGGTGCAGGACCGATGCCTTGGGGCCCAATTTGGGGATCATTCGGCTGGTATTTGTCTATCCACCCTCCCCCCCCCCACACACACACACATTCTCTTTAAAACACGTCTACAATTTGCTTGTCCTTATTTTTATTTTCTGTCTCCTGATCCAGAACTCCCTTTCCCTTCGGTGGAGGATTGAGCTAATTAGTATAAAAGTGAAGATTTCCTTCCCGGAGTTCGGAACTTCGGGCCGTGGCGATCGAGGGCCGTGCCTTTGGCTGGGGGTCCAGGCGCTGTGGGCGTCCTCCCCTGCCGGGATTTTATTTTCTCTCTGCTCGGAGGCAGTCGCCGGCCCCCACCCCGCCCCCGCGGTTCCCTGGGCTTCAGCTGCGGATCCCTTGGGCCCCGGTCCCGCAGAGCCGGCGTTCTTGGCAAAGCGTTGCAGTGTTTGGTGCGGGAGCCACTAACTCTCCTCTCCCTTCCTCGGGCTTTCGTTCCCGTCCCACCCGTGTACTGCCAGGTGCTGGGGACTGCCGGGAGGTGAGGAGGCTCTCACGGGCCGCGCTCCGGCCTCTGTGTTCTTCTCCGGGGGCCACTTCAGTTTCTCGCGGCCAATAGGTTCCTCACAATCTAAACTGCAATACAAATTTAGGATGTGGCTCTTAAAAGAGATTTGGGGTACAAATAAAAAACTTGGGCCTTCCTGGACAGGGACGAAGACTCTGTTGCATGCAGACTCTGCCCGACCGCTGACTCAAGAACCCGCGCCCCTGAAAAGACAGCTTGGTGCGGGCGCAGTAGACCCGTCCCTTGGTTCAGGGCCCTCACGCCGACATTTTTGGTGGCCACCGGTGGAAGACCCCTGGACCTGAGGGTGAAGATTTCCCTGGTTGGAACACCATGTGTTGAGTCCGGCCTTTGAGCCCGGCCCACGCAGGCGTCCCTTGCCCAGGCCTGAGAGTGGCTCCATCCCCAAGCGCGGGGACAGGCGCTTCCTGGTCCCCCAGCGGGTAATGTCAGGCTGCAGGCCAGAACGACGGGTGCCCAGGGATCGGGTGCTGTTGGCCTCCCTTTTCACTGATGGGCTTCGCATTTTGCGGAGACTGGGAGGGATTTGGAGGGGGCCGAACGTCGGGGACGGAGGTTAAGGAGAGAGAAAGGGGAACCGAGTAGCTACACGTGAATGTAAGGAGAGGTTAGGGCAGGGTTTAGTCGTTTTCATTCCAAATTTCCTTTTGAAACAAAACTTAGGACGAATTCAAAACTTGGGCCAGCTCCAGCCGCAGACACATACAGAGAGACTTGAAGAGGCTAGAACTCCAACTGGTGGGAGCTGAGAACTCGGCGGGGTGGAGGTTCCCCGCCATCTGCCAGGAAGGGCATGTGCTGGAGCCGGCTCTGGGTGTGTGCGGTGTATGCACAGAAGAACAGTCGTTGAAATAAATCAAAGCTTCCCCTCCACCCCTGTATCCCAGCTCTCAGCAGAGTCTAGCCACCAGCCAGGCTAGACCCCAGCCTCCAGGGAAGGAGGGACTGTGTCCAGCCAGGCTCTGGGCCTTCCTCCAGCCATCCACCTAAACTGCACACCCAGCTGGGGGCCTTGGCCATCAAGAGGAGGCTCATACACAGGCTTATGGCTTACCCGGGAAGATGGCTCTTCTCCGAGGGTGGCCCTGGACTGCCAGGGGGCAGGGATGCAGGACTCGTGCCAGTGGCTGGGCCTTGATGAGGGGAGGGAGTCAAACTGCAACCAGTTTGGCTTCCATGAGCTCTTAAATGGGGTCGGACTCCCCACTGAGAAGGGAAGGGAAGGGAAAGGGGGATAGGAGGGAAGCAGTCCCTAGCTGGGCAGCGTGGCACCGGTGGGTTGCCTCCAGGGAGCATTAGTCGGGAGATTCTCTCCAGCTCTGGGCCGCAGCTCAGCCCTCCCTCTTACCTTACCTCCACCTTCTTGCGTGGCCCTTGCAGCTCCCCAGCTCTCAGCCATGGGGCACAGAATTCACCAGACCTCAAGGTCTGCCAGACTCTCCCCAACACTCCTTAAGAACCTGGGAGCTCAGCTGACTGGCGGTTGAGGGAGCAGAGCCCAGTGGGCAGAAACCAAGCCTCCTCCACTGGCCTGTGTGCCCCAGGGCACTGTCCCTGGGCTTCCCACTCACTCATACAGGCAAAAGTCACAGAGAAGTGACTATCCCCTGGACTCAGTGTTGGAGGACTCACCAGAGCTGCAGGGCACCTCTGATGCCCCTAAATTTGGAATTCCTCATCCCAGGGATGGATGGTGAGCACAGGGGTGAAGCAAACCCGCAAACCTAATGTGGGAACACGTTGCTGAGATCAGGAGGTGTCACATTCCCAGTAAGGCCTGGGACTCTGATGTGGCTATAGGAAGATGTGGATACCAGGAATGCCCATGGCAATTTGGGGCTCCTGCAGCCACCCAGGCAGAACCTACCATCCTCAATACCAGACTGGAACCAAAGAGCTCCTGGGTCAGGTCATTGCCTTTTAAAGCTCTCTATACGTGCTGTTATGAATAAAACTACCCCCAAGCTCTGTAGAAATGTCTGTCTCTCACTAGGATAGAATCCGCCTAGCAAACTGTCTCAACTCGCTCTATTAAGTAAACACCTTGATGTTTCCTAAAATTTCACCTAAGGCAAAGGATTCCCCCATACCTGCCCCACCTCTCATTTTAAGTCTCACTTTTATGACATATTTTGTACCAATCTCCCCTCCCCATACCAGTGCCTCATAGTACCAGTAGGGGTTATGGGATCTTCGACAAAGGCACTGCTCTGCAGACCTGTAAGGGAGGCCTGAATCAAGCCTGGCTGTTCACAAAGTGGTTGCTGCACACAATCCTGCCCTGGCTGGGGACAGGGAAGTGGAATGGCATGGGTTAGCATAGCCTCTCTTTGGTTTGGAGGCTGCCAGCTAGACCCCTAGCTAGACCTGGGGAACTAAGCCCTCCACTCCCTGTCAGAGTGAGGGGCCATTCTAGGAAGGGCAGAGATGGGGATCACACCTCCCCCCTACACACACACACACACACACTCTCATCCCTACTCCCCATCTCTCTTAGGGGCAGTGTTTTTGCCACATGGCTGCTGCTGTGGCTGCGTTAAGCGGTTGCAGTGAGGAACAGGTGAGGCAGAGCTGGGAAGAGAGTGGCAGGGCCAGGCTGCACCTGCGGGGAGGAGTGAGATTCAGGATATTAATAATGGATGGAAGAGGCTGGAAGAGGAAGCTGCTAACAGTTACTAGCTGGTGTAAGGCAGAGAGCTGAGAGCTTTATTTGTGTCCATTCATTCCATTCTCCTTTCCCTTAGAGGAGGGTGCTATTATTATCCCACTTTACAGGTGAGAAAACTGAGGCACCGAGAGGGTAAGTGACTCGCTCAGGGACACAGACAATAAACGGAGGCAGCCAGGTGTCTGACTCTGGAGCCCGCCCATGCGGTCGCCCGATACCCAGCCGTCCCTAGTCTCTGGCTCAGCGGCTGCCTCAGGAATCCTCAGATGTGGCGCTGCCACCTGCCCCCCACGTCCCATTCCCCTTACGTGACGCTTCTAGTGCTTC